AGAAATAAAAATAATAGCAGTGACTCTGACCTATATGTGTTTATGATGCTTCAAGTATTAAGTCATCATTTTGTTTCTTTTCAGGATGATTTATTCATTAGTTCAAGGTTATTGACCCACCACTGAGAGGCTCGCCGACACATTATGATCTCTATAAACATTTATGTTCCATTTGTTTACACTAAATTGGATTTACATATGCAGTATTACTGCACTGTACTTCTAGTTTGAAGTTGGGTGTTGTTGTCAAGCCTCTTTGTTATGTTTATGTGCAATTTATATTTTATAGTTCTGGCATTCTGCCATGTTATTGTCATTTGTTTTTTTATTGTGTATAATTAAGGTCTTTTACATTGTCAGTTCTATCCAAATATGTCAGTATTTGTAAGGGTCTAGTGAATGACTTGGGGAAAAGATAATGGAGTTTAAGGCTTTATGGCGGAGGAAGAAAATAATGTTTAAATGTATGTTGTATCAATAATGGTTTGCAAGGATACATGACAGGCTTGAAATAAATAATGTTCAAATGTAAGTTGTATCAATAATGGTTTGCAAGGATACATGACAGGCTTGAAATAAATAATGTTTAAATGTATGTTGTATCAATAATGGTTTGCAAGGATACATGACAGGCTTGAAATAAATAATATTTAAATGTATGTTGTATCAATAATGGTTTGCAAGGATACATGACATGCTTGAAATAAATAATGTTTAAATGTATGTTGTATCACTAATGGTTTGCAAGGATACATGACAGGCTTGAAATAAATAATGTTTAAATGTATGTTGTATCAATAATGGTTTGTTTGGCCTTCGCGATGTTTAAATTTTTTTTAAAGAACAAAAAAAAGGTTAATCCTTCTCCATAGTTTCTCTCACTTTAAGACATATATATATAAAAATATGTTTATCACATTCATCTGCCCCTTAGTCTGTTGGACCATTGGGCACCACACTTAATCTGACAACTGTCTTTTGACAGGATTATAGTTCCTTCCATAGATAGGCCTATCCATTCCTTAATGTTGTCCTCCCATCGCTTCCTCTGTCTTCCTTGCCTTCTTTTTCCTGGTACTGTTTCCTGCAGAAAAGTTTTTGTGAGCCCTGGGGTTCTATTTATAGTCTTAACTTGCATTTTTTTTTATAGTGGTCAGAAGCTCATCATTGGGTTCCACCATTGTGATCCTGTTTCATATTTCCACACTTGTAATGAGGTCTTTGTAATTGATACCTAGAATCCTTATGTAATATCCTATTTCATGGCTAAGATCTTTCTCTCTAATTCTGCATTTAGAATGCAACGTTTGCATGTATACAAGAATGTCACCTTGACCAGGGAGTGTCTGTCTGATCTTTGTTCATGCCTTCATCTCACCAAATGGTCTTGAGTTTCACAACTGATGCTGTATACTGTCCAGTGCTGATCAGCGATTCAGGTCTGCTTCCTTCACCCAAGATGAAACTTCCAAGATATTTGAAGCTATTGACACTGGTCAGTTTTTCACCTCTGATCCTACAGTTACAGCCTTGTTCTCTGATGGTCATTTTTTTTTTCTGCATTTAATGGTATTCCTTATTCTGCAGAAGTCTTGTCAATGCTCATCATCAAGTCAACTACCTCTTCCTCTGTATGATAGGATGTCAGCAAGGTAGTAATTTTCTGCCGCCAGTGCTAACGATATTCTTGTAAATATATACTTTAGAAGACTTCCTCTTTTTAAGGCTAGCATTGTTCATGTGTGTGCATTCTTGCCAAAATTTTAATATTAGCAACTATGACATCTACTGACATTTATGCATGGACAGGCAGGGTACAATGAGTGTAAGCACATAATTATCTTCTCTTTTGAAAGAATGTCTGTAATTTATAAAATAAGATGAGCTCATGAATAATGACATTGCCATCAGTTCTATGCTGTTACAAATGTAGAAAGAAACACATCCTTCTGGACATATCTTTTTTTCTTCAATTACTAATATCTTATGTTCATTCTTGTCAATGAGGTAGATTTTTTTTTTTTTTTTAAAGATTAGTTGTGTATTTTTAACTACATGTTTAATATGGGATCAAACATATAAATATAAAGAGAGAAAGAGCTTTATAAAGATATTTCACTGACTGTGCATATGAGCAAGACTATCACAGCCTTGTTATACTTGCTTGCAGTGAGGCAACATAAAAAAGGTTCAGTTGCCTTTTGGTATTTTTTGCTCGATTTTTGTTTGCTGAGTACTTAAAAGCATTGTTATAAATATTAGTTGATTGGTAACTAATATTTTTTTTTTTTAGATGTGTTTATACTTTTCATATTCTAGAAGCCTATATTACATTGTGTTCCATCAAAACTGCCTCCTCAGAATATTAGGCATTGTTTACCCTATCTGCACCTTAAACTAGGTCATACCTCAATTTTGCCTTAAAAAAACAACACTTTTATTGCAAAACATGATCTAAAAACAATCTATAAAAATCCAAAAAACATCTAGACAACTATCATTTAAAAATTTTAAAGCTTATCCCCTTTATTTTGTTTGTTCTTTTGAAGTGAATTAGTACTTATCTGAACTCATCTTTATTATTATTTTTTTTTTCTATTCTGTTGTTAATCTTGCTGTGTCAACATATCTCCAGTATGAATTTCTACAGTGAAGTGTTTACCCAATTCTACACTTTGTACACAATATTCATTTATAAATAAAATATATTGCTTTCATTTCATATGAGTTTCAAATTATAATTTAATTGTTATTAATTTATAAGTGATTTTAATGTGTCTTATTCATTGTGAGTTAATGTTCCTGCTGAAAAGTATACATTTAATGCTCAGTGTTTTCCTGTCAACCTGCATAGCATGAGGGAGGGGGAGGGAATGAAGCATGGAAGAGGTGTGGCATGTTTGATATCTTTAAACAATATTGTATTGTGACATCACATCATTGGCGGATGCAGCACGTGGGTAAAGCTAGCGTATATATGTATATAGATATATTGTGCATTGTAGTTGAACTTCTGAAGAAATTCGAAATGGCTGTGAGTTAGGGCTGGATTTATCGAAATACTATCTTTGATAAAGCTTTAAAACTATTCATGAACAGTAAGCCCACTGAATGAATTGTATTTGTCCAGTGGCGCCTGTTAATGTGTTTATTTTGATCAGTTATTCCTGCCCCCCCCCCCCCCCCCCCCCTTTTTTTTTAAAAAATTCCACTTTCACTAAAATGGTAAGGAAACCTTTTTTTTTTCATTAAATTGAATTGTTCACTCTCCCACAGTTTTATAACAGGAATACCCCCTCCCCCCCCCCCTTTTTTTTTTTTTAAATTAAATTGCATTTTTCACTCTCCCACAAAGTTTATATGAGAGGACCCCCTCTCCCTTTTTTTTTTCAGTTCCAATAAAACTGCCCAGATTTTGTTGCTTCCCATTTGTTATACTTTTGGCCCATAAATTCCAGTATCTGTTAAAATTCTATTGGAATGGCCCATTTTATAGCAGCCCAATCCAAATACCTACTTTTGGCCTGGGAATTTAGGTATACATTTTTTCCCCCTCCCCAATTATGGATATGTTTGTTTGGCATGTTGACTGATATCAATGGTGTTGACAGTGATATCACTGGTCCCTGGCTCAAATCCTCTGCTGTCTAGGCTGTATTACTATTTAATTCTGAAGGAACATATGAAATATGTCAAACAATCTATTCCACACAGAAAAACCCAAGTCTGATGCTTGATAATAACATACCAGGTTATAATAAAAACCTGCCCACCCAAAAAAAAAAATCCTAAATACAATCTCTTATAATTCCTTGGCATCTCAAGTCTATATTGATAGGCTCTCCTGGTGTAGACTTGTGTTAAGAAATAACTGAACATTCACAGCTTTATAAAATCTTGTTTAAAAGGCTCTCATTTAATCTTTGATTTGTACATTGAGAATTTGTTGGATTTTTATTATAGATTCATCTAATCGTAACATAGATGACAGACTTCCTTCTTAACAGAAGATAGCCATAATAAAATAATACTTCAGATGCTAAAGACTTCATACTGATATTCTGCAATCTTGAAAAAAAATGTAATTTGGTTTCATTAATTTCTTCAGTTTAATTTAACTGTGTCCCAAATCTACATGTTTTTTTTTAAGGCAATGTGTAGAATTCAAAATTAGGAATCTAAGTTGGCGTGAACAGGAACATTTTGTGCTATTGTGAAAAAGAAGTGCAAGTTTTGTAGTTGTAATCAAATAGTTCTTTAGTTTAAAGACTTTATAGATCTAGATCTACAGATATTCAATGCTCTCAAAAACAAATCTCAATTTGGTTTCATTTATTGCTTTCGTTTATTTCGACTGTTGTCTAGATCAACAGGGCTAAATTAAAAGGGATGTAGGAAAATTAGGCCTAGAAGTTGAAGCATACTTTAAGTAGCTTTTTTTTTTGGCTAGGAAATGCTTTGTTAGCTTTAAAAAAAATAACATTGGGTCACATTGTGAATAAATTTAAATGCTACGGTTTGATAGTGAAAATATCTTAGTTGTTCTAGATTCAAGATAAGTAAAAACAGGTTAAATTTTTTTTTTCACCCACTGCCAAGTGGGAAAATTAGTGATGAGTCAGGGCATTGGTGCTTATAATATAGATAGCTTTATGTACCTTAGTACCTGATGATGGCTAATAATTTCTATTGAAGGGGGGGTTCTTAAATTCCTATACCTTACATTAAGTCTGTGGGAATATTCTTTCCACCTCTAGCCTTCATTCACTTCAATCTATACCAGAGTGACTAATCTAGGATAATGTTAAATAAATCACCAACATGCCTAAACCAGATTCATCCACCAAAAGAGACAAGTTTGGAAAATAAAAGATTCCCCTTATAATCATTTAGCCTTGAGATGGCTTATTACTATATATTTATATTCTTCAGTCTGTCACTTTAGAAATTCAAGTGAAACATTTCTAATCAATGATTAAAAATTTAAACACGTCAAAAATCTTTTAATTCTATATGTTGTTATTTATTTTATATGTATATAGTCAAAGGCATTGAATTTCATAGTCAAAATCAAAATGGGAAATACACAAAACCACAAACTCAAGTAGAAGCTCAGACCAAAAGAAACAGCATGCACATATTGATCCTACTACAACAGCATCAGTGAGAACCAATCAAAACACAAGATCACGCTGTAGACTATTTGTCCATTATCAATTACAACCAATCATAACAGACTAATCTAAGACAATGACATTATAACATACAGACTTTACTAATACAAAAACAAAATGTTTAATTATACAATGTCTATTAAAAACAACATCAGTCAAAGAAGTAATAAGATATGAATGATAAACTGACTCTCACTATTCTGCAAGGTAAATTTGAGTACAAAGTCCAAATGGAAAAGTTTATAAAAGTCGGATTCAAAATTCAACAAGTCAAAGGTTTGTCATGTCCCTATATTCATGTATCTACTGCAAACTGGACATCAGATTTAGAAAGTAAGGCTGACTATGGCATGCAATCCAAGTATAGGAGTATAACATTTAAAGAAATTTAGTGATATTTTGGTAAGTTGCCAGTCATAGGTCCTAGCTCTAAAACCTGGCAGTAATTGATTTTTAATTGGGATAAGATCATTAAGTACATCCAGCAAAATCTATTGGATTCCTGCTATGTGTTGGTAAGAATGACAATAGTTTGCTGGCCTCATTAGCTTTGACATTCTTTGATCTCAATGAGAACCAGAGACGAATACACTTAAACAGACATCAATCATTATAATAAGCCTAAACACTAATCTGTGACGTGGCAACCTGTGGCCAGTGGAGACCAAGGGTTGAGTATCACAGGTCAGTGTTCAGGCCTACTATGACAACTGGTCTTGCTCAAATCTTAGTACAGTTCTCCTCTGCTCAGCAGTTCAGTCAAAACCTTTTATTTATTAATATTTTATTTTTTTTACAGCTGAGTAGATTTGTGCATATTCTTATTATTGCCATTAAATGGTTTCTGTCATTTCTTGGCTATCCAAATTAGCAATCAGACATGCATTGAGATTTCATGACAAAATGGCAAGGGCTTATATTATATATGAAGAAGTTTATATATATTTCTTGAGTTTTGATTGTGTTCTTTTGCTAGTGTATACTAACTCTCAGAAATGACATGGCAATATATTAATTGAATAATAACAAGAATAAAAAAAAAATAACAACACCCAAATTGAAGATATGTTGTGTGACAATTTTCGGACCTGGAAAAGAAAGTGAATGGAATGTGATATTTTGAATCTTTACATTTAAATGAATTGACTAATAGCTAATTTGTTGTATCAGGGCCTAATCAGAACACAAGTCTATTATTGAATGACAGAACTTGATGGCAGTCACAGGCAAACATTCAGTTGAATGACGAAGATTAAGAATCTCTCAGATAAAAAACTTCATTCAATATCATTATAATGAGCTATAGGAAATGATTAATGAATAGTTGCATTATGGGGAAGGTAAATATGTAAATGATAGGGGTGGGCCTGTCTTTTCTTTTAAAATAAGCTCATCATTGATTTTCTAGATCACCATGACAACATTTTGATCATGATTGTGTTGTTACGGAAAGATTTGAGTCTTACATTTAGATATTCATTCCAATACAAAGTAATAATATAAATTTCTACATTTGTTTGGAGCTTCCAAGGTGAGCTTCTTAGCAGCACGAAGCCTTTTAGTCCAAAGCAACTATAAATCCTTTCAAAAAGCATTCACATCTAGTTATCAATCTACACTATATTTTAACAAGTTCATTTCATCTAGTAAATGACAAACTTTGGTAGAAATATTTTTTGTTTCAAGTTTCTCGCTGAACAACTTTTTTTTTGCATGTTGATTTGTTTTTGTCAAATCGTTTGAATTTGAAAAAAAAAAAACGGCTTATAACCACATAAGGCACTCTTACAGGAAAAAAAAAAAAAAGATGGATTTTTTTGTCAGATAAGATTTTTTTTTGTTTTTTAAAAAAAAGGTAAACTTAGTTTGCATAATGTTTTATTGATTTGAATAAATTTAGCATTCAGACTCATTTGTTTCAATGTTTCATAGGGACCCCAGCTATTGGCAGTTCAAACCCAATGCTCAAGTTAGAGAAGAGAAAAAAAAACACATTGATATATAAATACATAAGAACAACTAGATAAAAAGAAAATCTGGGCATGGACATCACATGACTATCACATGCTTCAACACTACAACCAATATACACTTTTAACACTAGAACAATACCAATACCGGTACATTACATCATAGGAGAAAATTGTAACTTATCAAGTTGATACATTTAATAATTCTAACTAACAGGAATAAACCCCAACCCTAGAGGAGAGAAAGGTCCAGCGCTACAAATTGTATTAGATGTTGAAGTAAAGGTTTTTCTACGAGACTGCTACTCAGGTGAAGCAAGAGTTCACTAATATGCTAATGGCGTGTAGCCTACCCTGGGAGGACTTTTAAAACTTCCAGTCCAACGGATCTCAGCTTCGAATCGTACGACTATTTTAGTAATCATTCTACATTCACATCTGGAGTGTAAGTATCATAGACTACAACTTCTGTCAATATATCCTGAAAGTAGTCGGCCCTAGCCTAAAACATGATGAGTTCAAAATGAGCAAAAGGGACTAATCACAATACACACGTACTTCTCCAATTGTCAGGAAAAAAAAAGAAGATATTACAATGAATATAGTTGAGTCCATCTAACATATATATATATATATATATATATATATATATATATATATATATTATGTACACTTGAGTGACAGTGAAATGATTAGAAAATCCTGTTTCTGCTATATCAAGTACTAACTATATTGAGAACTAATCAAATAAAACACATGTGTCTGAAAAAGACTGCTTGCAAGACTTTCCCTCTCTAAACACCTTTGTCTGATAAAACCTGCTTACATGACTTTCCCTCTCATGTAAATGAAGCAATATTATTTCTAGATAAAATGTTAGAAATAAGAGTGGAAAGATTGATAATCAATACGATTCTACAAATTTTTGTATAAAAATTTTTAAAAAATGTTAACAGCACTTTTCAATATTATTTAATTTAATGCTCTAATTAACTTCCTTCACTCCTGAGAAAAACAAATGTCTACAAATGAATAATATAACTTCATTCCTAATAGATAATGCCTGCATTCTCTGCAACTTACAATTTATCGACACAATTTTTGAGACAATGCATTTATGCATAAAAAATATTTATATAAAATTAAAATCATATAAATTTATAATCATCTTTATCATAAAATTATGTACAGTCTCCAAATAGAGCATTTACATCAAGTATTGCTATCCAAGACAAGACTTTCAACCCATTCACTACAGCAATTCCCCCCCCCCAAAAAAAAACAAAAAAAAAAAATGGATGCAATCCAGGGAAATTATTGTTTATGCTTAGTATGTCAAAAAAAAATCACATAATTGCATTAGGTGACATTAGGAAGGGGGCCAGTTCATTTGCATATCACATTCAGGAAGTGACAAGCTTGTGACAAACATTCTATGTTGTATACACTGCCCAAACACACAAACAAACAAAACTAAGCATGAAGGCGCTGGAGGTCACCCATGGAAAGACTTCAGTTTCACCCACTGACCAAGAGATCACATCAAGTCGAGTCTTGCATACAAATAAGTTAAACCACACAAGGAAAATAGACAACTAATGTACTCAGTCTCATGAAGCAACACTGATTGATCCCAGGATCTGTGATTGGACAAAAGCTCTTCACTGACCATGTAGAGCCTCAAAGTGTGTGTGTAACTGTGGTGGTGGTGGAGAGATGTGAGTTCTAGGAAATGAGTTGTCATACAGGGGAACTGCGACCTGAGCTTGTAGAGCTATCTGTCAACAACAATACAGAATAGATACAATAAATATACACAAATTAAACTAATCGAAATGTTTAGATGAAATGATAAAAAGATTTCAAGTTAATCGATGGTGTTAAGAAGTTATCAAGAAGTAACCATATTCTGACTACCAATAAGGAATAGTCACATAGCAGTGGGACTCAACACTCAGCATGGACTCATATGACTATCTAGTAATCGTTCTACATTCACATCTAGAGCATAAGAAATGGTATTTTTTTAATACCCATACAGCTTCTGTCACTTTTTTGGTTTGACAACATACCAGACACAGAAATCTTTAAGCTGTCCAACATGCACAGTATCAATGCGACAGTAAAATAGTAAATTCGATGGGTGAGACGTAGTCCGCATGCCAGACAATCGCCTTCCCAAGCGACTTCTGTACGGGGAGTTGTGTGCAGGAAAGCGCTCACAGGGAGGCCAATACAAGCGCTACAAAGACACTCTCAAGAGCTCCTTCAACGAATGCGATATTGACATTCATGACTGGGAAGCACTATCTCTTGATCGCTCCTCACGGCGTGAAGCTGTGAGTCTAGGAGTCTCAAGATTTGAAGCAAGAAGAGTGGCCTGGGCGAAAGAGCACTGAACCAACAAAAAGTTGAGAAGAAGCAGGCCAACTGACCTTACCAACCCATGCAACATATGCAGCCAACTTTTTAAAGCGAGGATTTAACTTTACAGCCATCTTCGAGTCCATAGTAAATGAGAAATGTGCTCATCTTCGACCACAAAGGAGGAGCTATATAGAATATTAGGATACATCATTCTAAACTAAGAACTAAAAAAATCCCAGAATCATAAAATATTCAAACCTTGATCCCTATGTTTTGAATAAAATAGATGTACAACACCGACCACCATGAAAACTAAAATTGAGAGACATCATGACCAGCTTATAAAGGGTGAGTATGAAAAACAGATGTGTTTAGTTTAAAACTAACTAATCAAGGGAGCAGATGTGTTTGGTTTAAAACTAACTAATCAAGGGAGCAGATGTGTTTGGTTTAAAACTAAGTAATCAAGGGAGCAGATGTGTTTGGTTTAAAACTAACTAATCAAGGGAGCAGATGTGTTTGGTTTAAAAACAAACTTTTTCTTCTTTTTTCCAGTCTGTGTTTTGGGCCCCAGATCCTGACAGTGGCATCATCAGAAGCGCTGGCTAACATGCTGGGTTCTGTTGGGTTCCAGTGTACGCAATTGACAGTCATCCTGTGACCTTCTAGTACAGCAACAGGAGTCTCCCGACGCTTGTGCCAAATAAACACTTTGTGATCTATAAAAACAGATAATGGACAAATAATTAAGACAACTCAAGTTTAGTTTTTAATCTTCACCTACTCTAAGCATAACATTATAAGCCCACAAGAAACCCATTTATACATGTTTGTATGAGTATTACCTACAAAGAAGGTAGATTTATCATATATATATGTCTCTAGGTTTACATATCACATCATTAACAGTCATGTTCAGTGACTTGGCAAATATTGCTATAATTAGCTTGTGAAGATTGTTAATTGTTATATAAATAAAGTAAAGCATAGAGCAGTACAATTAAACTATGATAAATGAAGTCACTGATATATAAAATAAGACAAATTTTTAAGTGTCTCACGACCTTTCAGTTTCATCATTTCAATACTTATAATTAATTGTGCAGATGGCTGGTAGTGTTTCAATCAAAACAAAATCGAGATGTTTTGTAACCAGTCAAGCTAATAGTGCTAAGTGGAGGGGGGGGGGGGGGGGGGGGGGGGCGCATTTGTCAACACAAACACAGAGAGGCACTGTGCTATGATTCAAACTTTTTTTCCACAGCTACATTTGTTATTTAAAACAAATCAAAAGCTTTGTTTTATCTAGTGATAAATATTTACCTTAACAATGTTCATGTTTAGAAAGTACAGTGATTTTTTGCCTTTTTTTTAAAACCAATTAAAGATTTTTTAAAACCATTTTTAGGAAGTAGAGACGCGGTGCGGTGGCTGAGCAATAAAGCGCTTGGCTTCCAAACCAAGGACCATGGTTTGAATACTGGTGAAGACTGGGATTTTTAATTTCGAGATCTTCGGGCGCCACTGAGTCCACCCAGCTCTATTGGGTACCCGACATTAGTTGGGGAAAAGTAAAAGCGGTTGGTCATTGTGCTGGCCACATGACACCCTTGTTAACCGTAGGCCATCTGCCCTATAGGTCACAAGGTCTGAAAGGGGAAGTTTTTTTTGTGTGTTTTTTTTTAATTTTTAGGAAGTAACATAATTTTTTTAAGCACATCAGGACTATCTAAATTACGCTGTTCAAATACATTTATGTGGAAGTCTATAGACTGATAATCTTCAATTTCATATACATTTCTAATGAAAGAAAAATTGTTAGTCTGTATCTCAGAACTGTGTGTATGTCTTCCAGCATTTCTTTTGAGATAACAATAAAAACTTATTTCATATTTTGTTTAACAAAACTGTTTTACAAAAACTCTCTTAAGTAGCTGAGATAAAACTACAGTTAACTCTTACTAGTCTGACAATTATACAACAAACTCAATAATCTGATACAGTAACGATATAAATTCATGAAATTAATGTACACCAATACTGCAGTACTTATATTTTAAAATGTAGGTATGCTTAAATTGCAATTTAATACAGTTGAAATTATATGCTTTGTATTTTTTTAGATCGATCAATTGTTCTTATTATCTATTGTTTATTTTATGCATCGATGTAAAAAAGACTTTTTCCACCAACTTCCTTCAAATAAAAAAGTCACTGAAACAGGCCATTCTTCTAGATGGCCAAAAATTAGTAAATGTAATAACTTTCATCTATTTGGGAAGTACCGTATCAGTCAATGTCAACCTAGACGATGTGTTGTGTCAGGACTGAGTTCTGGTCTCCTGTAAACTTTAGAGGAGAAGGGGGGCATTTCAGGTTGTTGAGTTCAACATTGTTTTTTGTTTTGGATTGTTTTTACTTTGTGAGATGTTTTTTTGAGTGGAATGTAAAAGTAAAGTGAAGTTCCCCTTTCAGACCTTGTGGTCTATAGGGCAGATGATGTCAAGGTCATCTGTTTCTTTGGCCTACAGCTAACAAGGGTGTCATGTGAAATGTAACTCATAGTAAAACAGCATGGTTTTTGTTCCTAGTTGGATTTTAGTGAGTTGATATATAGACTAAGTATTTTGTGTAGCTATTACTCAGTCAATTGGATATTGAGCTATTATTATTATATATTAATTGATACTGGAAACTTCATTTGCCAGAACTGTGCCTGTATTTTATTTATATTTTCAATAAACAAGTTATATGTCTGAATCAGCATTCTGAGTCTTCATTCTGTCTTTATATTTGTTGTCACAGTTATTCTACATGACTTGGTTACATTTGGCAATCAGCATTGAAATACACACAGACGTAGAGTAAGAAGAAAAGAGCCTTGACATGTTGCATGTGCAAGAACAAGTGTGGCAACAGAGAGACAGCAAATCTAAAAAACTGAATGTCTATAGTGCTGTAGTCCTCCCTTCAGAGTCAGGACTCTATATTACCGCCACATCAAAAAGCGTAACTCCTTAAACCTAGGCTAAGAAAAATTCAACAGGTGAATTGGATGAGTCTGTTACACCACTCCTCAGATGTTGAAATCCTACAGCTTTTACAAATAAACAGCATCCATGCCATAGCTAAAAGATCCCAATACCAATCATAGCCTGTATGCCAGAAAACTGCCTCCCAAAAGGACTTCAACACCAGTTACAAAGACACCCATAAGCGCAAGGACTAGATTCCATAGCCATCTTGGTGTTCATAGGAAATGAGAAATGTGCTCATCT